CAGACCTGAATGTGCATTTCGTTGTGGAATAGGCTACACAAGCCATGCACCCTCTCGTTGACGAGTTCCTATTCGAGAATTGCATGCTTATCCAATCCAGCCGAAGTTGCGCAACTCTGAGTCCCTGGAACACGCGCCCAGATCCCTCCTCTTCTGTCTGGGTCCTTCGCCCAGTCCGCTCGCGACAGAAGATGTACTCTTGTTCCCTCTTTCTGGCCATACTATCTTCCTCTCTCCCTCTCTTTCTGATAAATATAAATATATAAATATATATAAATATATATTTATTTATCTATCAGTATCACACAAAAAGACACGCACGCACACCGACTTTGCGGGGTCTTCATCTTGCATACATTTCCCTCCAGACAGGAAATAGTCTCTCACGCCCAAACACTGTCTGCGTTTCTTTTTGGCCCGGCCGCAGTGTTTCGCCAACAAACAGTCTGTTCAGGCAGGCTTGGCCTAAAAACATTGCGCATTGATGCCATCTTGGGGATGGTGTAACCGCCAACTGACTGAACTCCTCTGTCACCCGTGGCCAATTGACCGTATCCTCATCGTTTTTCGCCCAATCACTGCTTGACGGTACCGGAACCGCCTATGGAGAATGCATTACGGAGCCTCATAGATGCCGCTTCCTCACTCCCCATTCCACAGTCCACATTCCCCATATCCTCCATTCATAATGTCGATGTTGCTGTCGGCGTCTCCTGCGCCTTCTTCTTCTTCTTCTTTCTTTCTTGCTCTTCTTCTCCACTCGCTCCTTTTCCTTCGAGGCCACTTTGGCTTTGGCCGCCAATCGCAAGAGGCTGACAACAAACAACTCGAGGCGTCGGCTAATGAGTACTCCGACCGTCTGGGCGTTTTGTTCATGTCGTTGGTACAGTTGATGACCGTCTTGATGCGTTTCTGGGGCCAACTGAATAAAATCGCTTTGGTAGATCTGCCGAGATTTCGTCGCTTTTCCACCTTCCTCTTTGGGCTCAAATTCTAATTCAATTTCTCATTGCCCTTTTTCTCCAAACTTATCTTCCCCTCCCGCTCCTCAGTTCCATCCTTCACTCCGGCCACTACTCTCCTATTTTTCTCCTTCCATCTTTTCACTCTTGTTGCTGCATCTGCCTCGAGGTCTTCACTTGTCAATGAATACCTGCAACTGGTCGTAAATTTGAGGCTGTGAGAAGGAGAATTGTTTGAGTAAAAAGTGAAGTAAAGTCCAATTGTTGTGTGAACACACTCATAATTGAGGCTGGTATTATTTCCTGCCCGAGTCGCCCAGCGTGCATGTGTGCAATCGCTCGAACCGATACCAACTCCTGCATACAGACAGTCAGACAATCAAGCCTAGACAACTATGGCTGATGTATGGCCACATATTTATGTTTTTGCATATTTATTTATTTACTTGTCCACTCTAGTCAGCCTACCATGTGTGTGTGTGTGTGTGTGTGTGTGTCTATATGTTTATATGTATAAGCTTCGTGTGAGGTTACGTGTGTATTTGTAGACCTACCCAAGTACGTCAGTGTATTTTTGTGCTCGTATGTGCCTTTGTGCCAACTTGTTTGTGTGTACCGGTGAGGCTGCCCTGCAAAAAGGCGCGTTCTGTGGCTGGAAACGCCTCCAAATCAGTTAAATGACTTCCAATTTGCCTTTTGGCATTCACCCTCGAACAGGATATGGTTAGTTCATTTCTATTGTCAAAAAAGGAATTCACTGCTTTGCCGCCGGAGTCGAGATCGGGTTACACAAGCGAAAGAACAATCTGTTCATGCGCCAGTTGTCCGAGTTCGAGTCCTCCTTCTACCGCCGTTTGTGAACAAAGTGAATGTCTGAGAAATTCGTGAAGCATGCAGATGCACCCGTGGGCACTTGGTTGCTTAGGGAGAAGGCGAGGTGTGCAAGAATGCTCGCCGGCACTGACAGATCGCATTTTCAGCATTCCCTTCAACACACTTGCATTTCGCCCAATCCACCAAAGACGACGACGGATGGCCTTCATTCTTCCTACCCTCAGTGCTTCATACTATCCACTTTTTCTTTATGTCTTTCTCTTTCAATTTCCACCTTGTTTCCTTCTTTTTTTTCCCAATATTTATTCATTTCGGCCTTATTTCTTTTTTTCTCATTAGAGGAGAGTTTCGAGACTA